GGGAAGGGACCAGGTGAGGTGGCTCACGCCTGCAATCCCAGCATTTTGGGAGTACAAGGCAGGAGGATCACTTGAGCTTAGGAGCTGGAGACCAGCCTGGGCTGTAGTGAGATCCTGTATCTACAAAACTTTTTTTAAAAATTAGCCGTGAGTGATGGTGTGGGCCTGTAGTCCCAGCTACGGGAGGGGCTGAAGCAGGACTGCTTGAGTCCGGAAGGTGAGGCTGCAGTGAACCATGATTACACCACTGCACTCCCACCTGGGGCACAGAGCAAGACCCTGTTTCTTAAGAAAAAACAATTAAGAATGTAAAAATCTGAAATGCCATCGTACATATAATCATTAAACACGAGGCAAAAGAACATAAAGGAAACTGAATCAAATAATCAGTGCACAGAGAACACAAGATAGGTAAATACCTACAAGTTAATATCAACCATATAAAGCCCACATTCCGAGTAGATGCAAAAACTTCCATTTGCACGACGTGCAACGAGCAAGCATGGAAAAGACCACGTGGAGTTAAATTGTCAGAAAATCTTTTACCTCGCCTTGTACACACCCACACACCCCGTGCTGTTTCTCCGGTCCCAGTCCTGGCTCACATCCTTCCCTTCTCCCCACAAAAACCAGCCCCTTCCCTCACAGTGTTGACTGCTCCCATCAAACTCTGAGAGCAGCTCTTCCGAGTGACAGCTCCCCAGGGGCCCAGTGCTGCAAGCAGAGCTCTACCCGGCCCTGATTCATCTTTCCTCCAGGTACTTTCAGGGCGAACAGACTCAGGCCTTTATAGCCTTCTAAGTCCTGGCTCGGATACCAGGCTGGGCTCCACCCCCGCACTGTGACCCAAAAACGCTGGTAAATGAATGAGAGAAGGAGGGCGCACACTGAAAGGCAACCAGACCCGGAGGTGTTCGGCCGCGCACCCCAGACACAGGGTGTGGAGGGGAAGCGAAGGTTCGGAGGGGCAAAGCAAGAGTCCCGTTCGTCCCCGTCCCCACCCCGCGGCCCTCCCGGACAGGGCCGGCCCGCTGCCCTCACTTCCGTACGAGGGTCGCCAAGTTCCCACGGATCTCGGCTCTCAGCGGTCAAACCGATGGGCTCCTCGGCCGAAAAGGGACGCGCCCGGGGAGACTCACACTTCCATGACGTCCCGCCTCGTCGCCCCTAGCTGCCAGCAGACCAAGAACCTCACACGTCACAGCTGTCCCCGCCGCCGCCGACCGCGCCAAGGTGCCAGCTCCGCGCGCCAAGGTGCTCGCCGGGATTGCAGCGCTGCATGCCGGGAGCCTGGCGGACCCGGAACCTCGCGCTGCGCGTTCGCCTTTCTCGGGGGCGCGGGTGGGGGAGTGTTCCTGCATCCTTTCACCAGGCCTACGTAAGACTGCTAAGCGTTTGCGGACAGGATTATCTCGTGTTTTCTTTTCTTTTTTTTTTTTTTTTTGAGACGAGTCTCGCTCTGTCGCCCAGGCTGGAGTGCAGTGCGCGATTCCGACTCATTGAACCTTCGCCTCCTGGGTTCAAGCGATTCTCCTCCTGCCCTCAGCCTCCCCAAGTAGCCCTGGGACTTACACGGCGCCTTGCCACCAAGCCCGTGCTAATTTTGCTAATTTTTAGTAAAGACGGTTGCACCGGTTAGCCAGATGGTCTCAGATTCGCGTGACCTCGTGACCGCCCGCCTTGGGCCTCCCCAAAGTGCTGGGATTTACAGTTGAGCCACCGGCCCCCACGCCTCCTTTTTTTCTCTTTTGAAACAAGGACGTCTCCTCGGCTCTGTCCGTTCTTTTTTGACAGACAGAGTCTCGCTCTTCGCTCAAGGCTGGAGTGCAGTGGCGGCGATGCTCGGCTCACTGTAACCTCTACCTCCGTGTTTCAGCAATTCCTGACTCAGCCCTCCCGAGGTACGTGGATACTGGCGCCCGCCATAATACCTACGCAATTTTATATATTTTTTTAGTAAGAGACGGGCGGGCGTTCCCCATCTTGGCCAGACTTAGTCTTGAACTCCTGACCCGTGATCCACCCGCCTCAGCCTCCCCAGAAGTGTTGGGATTACAGCGCCGTGAGCCACCTCGCTGGCCATCTCTGTTTGTTCGGGTCCAGGTTTTACCAAAGTATTTATCAGCTCAAGTTGCAAGATGTGATCGGGTTACGTGGGCCTTTGCCATGTTAAAATCCCACCCTCAGAGAGTAGTGAGGCTGGTGGCATCTGGGCTGCCAGAAACATTTGTAGTTTATTTTATTTTTTAAGAGGCAGGGTCTTCTCTTGTTGCCCAGGCTGGACTGCACTGGTGCAGTCAGAGCCACTGCAGCCTTGAACTCCTGGGCTCAAGCAATCCTCCCATACTCAGCCTGCCAGAGATAGCTGGGGCCCACAGGTGCGCTCCACTACCCCTGGTTACATTTTTTTTTTTGAAGACGGACTCTCGCTCTGTCCACCCAGGCTGGAGTGCAGTGCCGGATCTCCAGCCACCTGCAAGCTCCACCTCCCAGGTTTACGCCATTCTCCTGCCTCAGCCTCCCGAGTAGCTGGGACTACAGGCGACCGCCACTCGCCCGGCTAGTTTTTGGATTTTTTAGTAGAGACAGGGGTTTCACCAGTGTTAGCCCAGGATGGTCTCGACTCCTGACCTCGTGATCCCGCGTCTGACTCCCAAGAGGCTGGGATTACAGGCGTGAGCCACCGCGGCCCCGGCTAATTTTCTTTTTCTTTTTTTTTTTTTTTTTGAGATGAGTCTCACTCTGTTGCCCAGGCTGGAGTGCAGGTGCGCCAATCTGGCTCATTGCAACCTCTGCCTCCTGGGTTCAAGCAATTCCCTGCCTCAGCCTCCTGAGTAGCTGGGATTACAGGCACCCGCCATAACGCCCAGCTAATTTTTGTATTTTTTAGTAGAGACGGGGTTTCACCATCTTGGCCAGGCTGGTCTTGAACTCCTGACCTTGTGATCCACCCGCATCAGCCTCCCAAAGTGTTGGGATTACAGGCGTGAGCCACCGCATCCAGCCACCTGGCTAATTTTCTAAAATAAAATTCTTTATTGTCCAAAGGGTCAGCTAGAAAATTTTTAAATTTTTTTTGTAGAGATGGGAGTCTCACTATGTTGTCCAGGCTGGTCTTGAACTCCTGGCCTCAAGTGATCCTCCCATCTCTACCTCCCAAAGTACTGGAATTACAGGTGTGAGCCACTGCAATAGCCTCTGTTGCCTACTTTGTAAATAATAAATGTGTTACACAATCCTTAAAAAGTGCCTGGCACTTTATTAATTACTGTGGCAATACAACCATGACTCTCTATGAAGTAGATTCCATTATTATTGACATTTTATAATCGAAGTAACTGAGGCAGACTTGGGGAGATTATGATTTATCAAAAGTCACTCATCTAGGAACTTGTCCAGTGGGTATTGAACCCGTCAATCTGAACAAATACTAGGGATGCATTAACTAGAGACTGATGAGTGGATGAATAAAATGTGCTACATTTGTACAATGGAAAACTACCTAAAAAGGAGGCCCGCCGGGCGCAGTGGCTCATGCCTGTAATCCCAGCACTTTGGGAGGCCGAGGCAGGCGGATCACAAGGTCAGGAGATTGAGACCATCCTGGCTAACACAGTGAAACCGCATCTCTACTAACAATACAAAACAAAATTGGCTGGGTGTGGTGGGGGGCGCCTGTAGTCCCAGCTACTCGGGAGGCTGAGGCAGGAGAATGATGTGAACCCAGGAAGTGGAACTTGCAGTGAGCGATATCGTGCCACTGCACTCCAGCCTGGGCGACAGGGCAAGACTCCGTCTCAAAAAAAAAATAAAAATAAAAAGGAGGCCAGGCTTGGTCTCAACACTTTGGGAAGCGGAGGCAGGAGGATTTATTGAGACCAGGAGTTCCAGACCAGCCTGGACAACATAACCAGACCCCCATCTACGAAAAGTTAGCCAGGTGTGTGGTGGTGAGCACCTGTAGTCCCAGCTACTGGGGAGGCTGAGGTGGGAGAATCGCTTGAGCCGGCAGGTCGGGGCTGCAGGGAGCTATGATCACACCACTGCACTCCAGCCTACAGAGTGAGAGACCTTGTTGCAAAAAAATATATAGATAGATAGATAAATGCTGTGAGATGGATAACCTCCCAAAACATGGTGCTATTAATAAGTGAAAGAGGCCAGACAGAAAATAATACATATCACCTGCCCGGGTGGCTCATGCCTGTAATCCCAGCACTTTGGGAGGCCGAGGTGGGCGGATCATCTGAGGTCAGGAGTTCAAGACCAATCTGGCCAACATGGTGAAACCCTGTCTCTACTAAAAATACAAAAATCACCAGGCGTGGTGGTGGGCACCTCTAATCCCAGCTACTCGGGAGGCTGAGGCAGGAAAATTGCTTGAACCCAGGAGGTGGAGGTTGCGGTGAGCCAAGATCACACCACTGCACTCCAGCCTGGGTGACAGAGTGAGACTGCTTCTCAAAACAAAAGGCCGGGCGCAGTGGCTCACGCCTGTAATCCCAGCACTTTGGGAGGCCCAGGCAGGCGGATCATGAGGTCAGGAGATCAAGACCATCCTAGCTAACACGGTGAAACCCTGTCTCTACTAAAAATAAAAAAAAAAAAAAAAAAAAATTAGCTAGACATGGTGGCGGGCGCCTGTGGTCCCAGCTACTTGGCAGGCTGAGGCAGGAGAATGGCGTGAACCCAGGAGGTGGAGCCTGCAGTGAGCGAAGATTGCGCCACTGCACTCCAGCCTGGGTGACAGAGCGAGACTCTGTCCCCACCCCCCACAAAAAAAGAATACATATAGTATGATTCACTTTATATGGAATGTGCAAGAAGAGGCCAATCTATGGATACAGACAAAAGGCTAGGTTGGGGGCAGGGATGGGAAGTGACTGGTAATAAGTAGGGAGTTTCTCTTTGGGAAACAAAAATCATCTAAAAGTATTATAGATGGGCCAGGTGCGGTGGCTCAAGCCTGTAATCCCAGCACTTTGGGAGGCCGAGGCAGGTGGATCACGAGGTCACTTTGGGAGGCCGAGGCAGGTGGATCACGAGGTAAGGAGATCGAGACCATCCTGGCTAACACGGTGAAACCCCATCTCTACTAAAAATACAAAAAACTAGCCGGGCGTGGTGGCGGGCACCTGTAGTCCCAGCTACTCAGAGGCTGAGGCAGGAGAATGGCGTGAACCCGGGAGGCGGAGCTTGCAGTGAGCCAAGATCGCGCCACTGCACCCCAGCCTGGGCGACACAGCGAGACTCCGTCTCAAAAAAAAAAAAAAAGTATTATAGATGGTGATGGTGGTTGCACAACCCTGTGAATATACTGAAAACATTGAGTTGTACACTTTAAATGGCAAATTGTACAGCATATGAGTCTTATATTAATAAAGCTGTTAAACATTTTTTACTTGGCTAAGTGTGGTGGCCCACACCTATAATCCCAGCACTTTGGAAGATGAAGGCAGGTGGATCCCTTAAGCCCAGTCTGAGACCAGCCTGGGCGACATGACGAAACATCATCTTTACCAAAAAAATAGAAATTAACCAGCGTGATGGCTCGCGCCTGTAATCGCAGCTACTCAGGATGCTGAGGCAGGAGAATCGCCTGAAACCGGGAGGAGGAGGTTGCAGATCACGCCACTGCACTCCAGCCTCGGCGAAAGAGCGAGACTCTATCACAAAATAACAACAAAAAAAGTACATAAAATGCCACCCGGACCCAGCTGGCCTGGTTAGTGCGGAAAATTCCCTGTACCTTCATTGAGGAGACTAGATCCCACAAAGAAACGCTAAAGATGCTCCTTGTGTTACTCACTCAACCAATAATGTAGCCATGGCCAATCGGGGGCTGATGATACAAATGTGACTAATACACACCCTCTGCACTGGCTAGCTGACAGCCTAGTTGGGGAACCAGCTCTGGACATAAATAACTACAATGCATTGTGTTTCGACGGGATGGGGCAGGGGAGGGAATGACTAATGAGGTGGAGAGGCGTCCCAAAGCCACGGGCCTTTGAACTGGGTGAGGGGAAAAGTACACAAGATCTAGGAATTGGGTACAG